CAGCGTCGCTGGAGATGAGCTTGGCAAAAGGACCCTTTCCCAACTATTAGCTTGCAGAGGAGGCAATTAGTGAAGGCCGTAAAGCTTATAATGTTGAAGATTGGCCGCTTGACTGACTTTGATGTCTCCCACCCAGAGAGATGGAATTCATACGTAGCAAGAACTACTTTAGAGTAAATCAAATCAGAGAAGACGGCCTGAAGGCAGCAACTCTTCTGTGTGCCTGTGGACAGGAAGCTTTTGATATCGCGGAAAATCTGGTGGCCCCTGCACTTCTAGAGTCAGTAACATACGCTGACTTGAAGAAGATGCTGAAAAAACATTTTCAGCCTAAATTATTTGTCATCGCTTGGAGGCACGCATTTGAGCAGAGAGACCAGAGGCCGGGTGAATCTGCTGTGGACTTTATTGCTGCCTTAAGACAACGGCCAGGCCTTGTGAGTTCAAGGATCTGGAAGAAAGGCTGCACGATCGCTTCATGTGTGGCTTGAGAAGTAGAGACCTACAACAACAGAAGTTTGCAAAAGAAGAGGTCTCGTTCCAAGACGCGTTAAGAGAGGTGGCAGCTGAGGAAGCAGCAGGCGGTGCTGTGAAGGCTTTGCGGCTTGCCAGGAACCTTCCAGCCGCTGCTACCGTCCATCAAGAGGATGCTCAAGAAGAATCAGAAGCGGATCCTGAAGAGGAGGTGGACAGACTTCACCAGCCAGCTGAAAGAAGGCCGAAGAGGCGTCTGGACAAGGCCCCAGCATCTTTTCAGTGCTTTGGGTGCGGAGGACACCACAAGCGAGCTGACTGCAGATTTCGCTCCGCCATTTGCCGGGCATATGGCAGGCAAGGCCACATTGTCTCCGTCTGTTTGGGTTGCCAGAAGGTCCAACCTCGGGAAGAATTGCTTCAGAAAGGTACCAGGGTCCCCCCCAACACAGGGTGGGTTTCTGCACATCATGCAGGAGTATTCTGAGGACAGGGAAACACAAGACCCTTAAGAAAAAACTTCGCATTGACGTGAAGTTGCAACTGGACACCTTCAAAAGGATTTGCAGCAGATTACCTCTTAAACAGATAGAGGCAGATCCTGCTCCTGCTATTAATATCCTTTCCATTCAGGAGTTACCTGAATCTCCCCTGGCTGCAGAAACTGCCACTGATCACACGCTCACACGCGTGCTGACATGGGTGTTGTCAGGATGGCCTGACAGGTGTCCAGATACAGATTTTCAAAGCTTCTGGCAAAGGAAGCATGAACTTTCAACTTTCAAGGGGTGCCTGTTATGGGGAAGCAGGGTAGTCATCCCAGCCTCATTGAGGTCTAGAATCTTGCTCTCTCTGCATGAGGGACATCCTGGTATAGTAAGGATGAAAGCGCTTGTGCGCAGCCATCTTTGGTGGCCTGGGCTTGACAAAGCCATCGAGGCTCAGGTGCATGGGTGCCAAGTGTGCCAGCAGTCAAGGCCTGAAATGCCTCAGGCTCCAGTACATAGGTGGGAGGAAACTCAAACCACGGGTACATATAGATTACTGGGCCCTTTCAGGGGCAATTCTTCCTTCTCCTCGTGGACAGCCATTCCAAGTGGCTAGAGGTTGTTCCTGTTTCCTCCACTACTGCTGCCAGGACCATCCAGGTGTTGAGAGGAATTTTTGCCTCACATGGACTTCCAGATGTCCTGGTCTCAGATAATGGCCCCCAATTTACCTCTTTTGAGTTCCAGGCTTTTCTTCAGGCCAACTTGATCTGGCATGTGACGTCTGCTCCCTTCCACCCATCATTCAATGGCCAAGCAGAGAGAATGGTGCGCACTACCAAAGATGCTCTCAAGAAACTGACTTATGGTAACTGGCATCACAGGTTAGCAGATTTCCTTCTTTCACACTGCACCACACCTTGTACAGCCACAGGGAGGAGCCCTGCAGAACTCCGCTGGAGTTGCCACCTCATCATCAAACTGTACAGGTTGCACCCAGACCGGGTGGCTTCACAGGTGTCACAACCACAGGCACCTAAGAGACTTCAGGTGGGCGATCCGGTCTGGGCAAGGAACTATGGGCCTGAACATCTCTGGGTCACAGCAGTGGTATGCAAGGTCTCTGGGCCGCTGTCATACGAAGTAGCCTTGGATGATGGCCGTGTTCTTCGCAGACACATAGACCAACTGCGTTGGAGGCTGGACAGCCACGTTTCCGCTCCTGGCTCTGCTCTGGGGGGAGGAGGCCAATAATATGGGTTCTGGGTCACAGGTTCCTAGACCTAACAGGGCCTCACAGGCTGATGAGGCTGTTTGGGAGTCATCACAAGTTTCCGCAAGTGCGCCGAACAGGAATTCCCAAAAAGGGGGGTCACCCCGCACATCCGTTATTGCTCCAGACAGGAAGTCACACCGGGGGTATTCACACAAAGCCAACACAGCCATAGACAGGGAATTCCATCAGGGGCACTCTCAAAATTCAGCTATTGCTCCGAAAAGGAAGTCAGTAGCAAGGGGGTTTGCCATGGAGGCAGCTCCTGACTCTGGCAGCTCTGGCATGTGCACGGGGGCTATGGAGTACTGGGGCACTTCCGCCACTCAGGCCTCTCCAACTGCTGGCCTTGGGCTCGAGGGACAGTGTTCCCAAAAGGAGTCCATTATGGACTTGGGGACTTCCACCCCTCCAAGGTACACTGGCTTGGACTCAGAGGGTCCAGCCAGTCAGCAGCTGGGTGAGTCACCTGGGTATTTAGGGCATCAAAGTCCTGGCCTGCCTAGCCTGGTAGGCGAGCAGGTAGGCCAGGCAAACTCACCGGCCCTTAGAAGGTTGCAGCAGGCCAAGTGCCCACCTAAACATCTAGGAGATTATGTGAGGTTTCTGTCAACACATGAGGAACCTTGCTATTAGGTCACTGAATGAGGGGGCTAACACTCAGTAAGGAGTTTCATATACTATTATGATTTTGGAATCCTGGACTGTGCTGAGATGGACAAATTAACAAAAGAGATAAAAGAAAAGGAAGACACAGAATACTATTTAATATGGAGCAAGTGGTATGACTGGCTGGAAAGTAGAAATAAGAAAGAATAAATGTGGAAAGGTTAAAAGTGGAAAATGTGTGTATAATAATTATGAAGGAAGAAAAATGCAAATAAGAAATAATGGGGCAACAAAGACAAATACTCCAAAGAAGAATAAGGGGGGGGGGGAAATGTAAATAATAGAAGATTACTGTTACGAAATTGCTGTTAAAATATATACTGTGTATATATGTGTGTTATGTTTTGTTTTGTTTTGTTGGTTTAAATAAAAAAATATATATATGATTTTGGATACATTTTATTAAGTTAATAATTATTTTGTAAGGTGTCTTGCCTGCGTGCAGACCCGAGCATTTCCACTCTCCTTGCATTTGAACAATGCACCTGTGCGTAAGCTAGGTGTGTTTCATTTAGGGGGGAGGGGTGTTGTGTCCTGAGTCTGCAAGAGCTGAAAGCAGGCTCAGGATTGTTGCAAATGGTCCCGGGCAATCCAAAAGCTGCCCGGGACCAGACAGGGTGGCATCAGCCTTGCGCGCATGCGCAAGGCGTGAAAATGGTCAATTCCTATTGGTTCACACTGTCTGGGTTTCATGCCCTATAAAAAGGCCTGCGTGTCTTTTGCTGATTGCTTGGTTGTAGGAGAGTGTAATAAAGAGCTTGTTGTTTCACCATGTGTCTTCGTCAATTGCCAATGAACCAAAACCACAACAGCTATCAGAACATATGGAAAGAAATTGAAACAGCTAATGACAGCCCCATTTTGTTTCATTATAAGGGAATTAGTAAGATGGATGGCAAATGATGGAAATGTACATGGAAAAATGGCTCACAGAGAGGAAAGTCCTTGCATAATAGACTTCGCTTTGGTTTCCTGTTTGTTCTAATCTTGGAAAAAATCATTCATGTTGTTATACATATCTGTATGTATACAGCAATTTTACCTCTTGTATATAAACAGCAGTTTCTGGGGCAATCCCTTACCTTACTACAAGCAAGAAAACAATTGCCCCTTCCAGTAGTTATTTAGTGCAGTAATTAATACCGGTAGGTATGCAAATAGCCTTAACAGAAAGATAAAAATTGCTGTAACAGCTACTCTGGTCATCGAGGTATTAAAGATTTGTTAAAGTACAAAAAAGTGGAATGGAGATTAAAGGTTGATGATTCCTTCTGCCTATTATCTTCCTACCTTTCCTTCCTTTCCCACCCATGATCCACTGCCAATATTATGTATTGAATTGAATGAATGCACTACTGCTGTATTCATAGAGTTCTACAATTTTGGCAAAATTATAAAATACAACACAATTTCTTGGAAATTTGAATTCCATGATTGATTAAGTTCCAGTATAAGTAATTAAATACACATTTAAAAAAACAATGAGAGAAGTAAACAGATTGAGACAGTAGCAGATGGGAAGGAAAGTTTTAAGCATACTTTGCCCCTGCGATCTCAGTGCCTCCCCCAGTTGCTATTAATGTTCATACAGATGATGCCATCTGTATTAGACAAGATAGTTCCATTAATTTCTATAGAATTCCACATTTATGTGTACCATAATAACATAAGTTTTCTCATAATTAAGTCACCCTATTAGCAGATTTGGAGTTGTTTATAAATTATATACCTGTGCTAAATTAAATGTAAGAAGGGTTTCCTTTTCTGATTTAGTATTTAATTGTTCTTCCTCAGTGAAAGCCCACTGATGTAAAAAACGTAAAGATCTGAATACATTTAAACTACTTATTATTGAAAATTTCCAGATATAAATTTAAGTCTCTATCTGCAACTTTCTAAATGTAGATTCTAGATTCTGACAATATTATTTCAATATTTTAAGATAGTGCCTATAAATAATGTTCTTTAAAAATAGCAAAGGCATACTGTGGTGTCACTGCAATAGTCACAAATCTTTATTTAACCATTTATGAAGATATTTCTCCTTCTCTAGCAGTAGTATTAAAACAATTGTAAAATGTAGAAAATGTAAATACCTGTTGTTTCTCAAACCGGGATCTTTATCAAGGTCATAAACAAAATGATCTTGAGAGATTCCTATAATACTGTCTGTATTTTCATTTCTCTTGATAGTGATAACAGGGTAACCCATCTGGAGTGTCCACTGATCCATTACTTCTTGGATATTCACAAATTTCCCAATCTTCTTAAGTGCCTTCAAAACAAATAAAAAATATAGAACTCCTTTCTGAAATGATATTATTGTCTCTTTTAGTAAAAGGGTTCAGGGGGTATTCATTAATGTATTCATAATTTTATATGAAGTTCTTTTAATCTATGCAGATATATTACATTTGTTTAAATTCTATGTAACAGTAGCACTACTGTTTACTCTGATATCAAGTTTAGAAATACATTCCACTAAGTTCAATGTGTTAGCACTCAATTCAGCATACTGTAGAATTCCATCTAGGGAATTTCAATCATAAAATATAATAGAAAAAAAGTTATTTTTCCACTTGCTTTATCACAGAAGCAGAGAGTCTGTGTCCTTCCGGATGCTGTTAAATTACTTTTGATTCCAAGCTACTTTGTCATTGGCTGTGCTGACTGGGGCTGTTAAAAATTATAGTTCACCAATATCTGAAGTACATACCTTCTCTATTTCTACTTGATGGCTGTTCATTTTAATTGCAACATTAACTTTAGATGGAAAATTAAAACAGAATAACAATACTAACAATTTTAGCCATCACTTTAGATTTATACTAAGGTGTTAAACTTTAAGTAAAATCATCTTAACAAGGCAAGTTAATGCTGATGCAACCTTTAAGTTCAGTGAAAGCAGTTCACTTTTATTGAAAGAGCAAATTATTACAAAATAATAATTTCACAATACTTTTCTAATTCCTTTACCTGGTTTACTCTGCTCTTTGAAGCTGATCTACATTATTATAGTTAGCAAAAATGTCACTTATTTAAAGAAGTGACTTCCCTATAGGGGACCCATGATTTTTATGTATGGTCCTATTGTGTGTGCAATCTCAGAAAAAGCCTGTATGGAAATTACCAGGACTAGGGTTTCCTTGGCTATGGCTGTAACACTGTACCATCCCCTTTATCTTTCAGTTCTATCTGTCAATTCTTAAGGTCTCAAAACCTTAGAAACTTATTTTTTCCCCACATCCATTTCTTCCATAGTATTTGACACTATTAATGGAGATATGGACAGAAGAGGTATTTCAAATCCACCAATAGCCCTTGTTCCAATAGGCATTTGTCCTTTGCTTCAATTTGATTGAATGGCACCTATTATGTATAGTAGATTTCTATTGTTTTTTTTTTGTTTAAATATATATGATCGTTAGCACTCTCTTCTTGTGTTGACTTTGCTATACCCCATCAGAGTTTGGATTAGGAATAAATTTATTTATTTTATGGAATTCATACTTTGCCTCAGTCCAACTGAATTATAGCCAGTTCTTCACTAAAAAAAACCACCACAACAACAATTCTATCATGCAAAATAATATAATAAATAAAATAAATAAAACTTACTTTTAAATTGATGGCTTTACAATCAGCCCTAAAAGGCACTGTGTAAAAGCCACATTTTTATGCATTTTCATGGACTTCTCAAGGGTTCAGAGATGAAGTTGAGACATACCTACAGACAACTGATAAATCTCCTAGTAGATGAATATATGTTCTTAGACTAATTGAGTCAGGTGGGCAGATTTTACCAGGAATAAGTCAAAGATCTCAGAGAACAAAGATAATGCTCCCTCCAAGTCCACAGGACTTCCATGAAAGAGATCAATACAGTTTCTGTCCCACACCCTGGAGTTCCAGGTCCAACCAATCAAAACTATATTTTCTCCATAATTTTCTCCAAGAAGGCAAGAGTGGAGAATGGATGGAAATTGTTCATTTTCACTATATGATGGCATGGCTTCCTGAAAAATCAGTAGAACAACCCCACTCTCAAAGTGCTGAAACTTCCCCTTTCTCCATGACTATATTCTTAATCTCCTCTCTGGCTGCTTTTATCTGCCAGATGGGACTGGGGTCCAATGCACAATTGGAAGGACTAGATCACAGAGAATCCTGTTCATTTGCTAGAGAACTACAACCCCCAAATAATCCTACAGGACATGATGTCTCTTACTGCAATAGATTCTAATGCAGATTCCATTTCTAATTTATCTTACTTCAGTTAAAATATATGCTATAGGCTCTAGATAAATTTCAATTTGCTGATTCTAGTAAAATAATTTCTTTCAGGAGAGGACTAGCAGAAGAGCAAATCCCTCTCTTTCAACATCCTCAACATGTGTTTAAAATCTGCATAAGAATGTTGGGGGACTTCAAGAAGCAAATTTCAGGGAGGAGAAATCAGGAGAGAAAAGTTTCTATGAGCTTCTGCAGCTTGTGTGACACTGCTTTCTGCCTCTATGTTATCAACATTGCCAATTAGTGCCAAATTACTTGTGCACCTTCTGTGAACACTGAACCTGTAGATTGAACAAAGACTGCCTATTTTTCATGTTCTATATCTGAATCCATCACAATTTTTAAAATTAATGATAGTTTAGTCATCCTGATTTTTTTTTTACTTCTAAGGGCAAAGAGTAAGGGAATGTGCTAGCAAGATGAACAGATTTTGAGGTCCATATTAAGTACCTTTTTAAGCACCATTTTTAAAACTTTTCTTCAGTATATCACTTTTAATATACAATATTTACATATATAAGCCCCAAAGCCACGTAATAAATATTAGCCCTCAAAATAAATTACACTTGATCATGAAATATGTTTAATGGTTATACCTCTGACAGTGTATTCCATAGGTCCTTCCTTGCAGCATTGCCATATTTGTGAATTGTTAAATAATCCTAAAAATACATACATACATAAATATATAAAAAATAAATATATGCTGTATAACTTCTATACCATTTTAGGCATACATTTATAATATTTGTATTATATATCCATGCTTAGTATAAATTTAGAACATTTTAAAGTTAGTTTTCAGTATGTAATAAAAGTACCAATAATCAACATTCCGGACAATGCAGACTCATTGTGGTCTTTGCAAACCTGGACTGCAGCTCCCAGATATCTGTAACAGTTGTTACTTAGCTATAATTTCTGATGTATTAGAAAAGTAAAATTATTACATACATATGAGAGTAATATTAACATATTCATTTTTAAAGATAACAATGAAACAAAATTAGTTTTGTTTGAGCTCTATCTATTTTATATGCTCCAAAGCTGAATATGGTCCTCAGCCCAGAAAAGTCCTTCAATCCTGCTAATGAACTTTTATTTTCTTACATTCAAATATATTTTCCACTTTAATTTCTCATCTACTTTACACTTTTTAATCTTTGTTTCTAGCAAATCTTACAATAATCAGAAACAGTTCCAAAAGTAAGTATTACTTATTATTTTAGCAGATCATTCTACGACTACTTTAGAGAAATACAGACACTGTTGATAAGAAGGTTTATTATTAAACATTGCCCTAGTTTTTTCAAACCAAAACTTCCAATCTACTGTACTGTTACAAATATATTGTTTCCCTTTTGGATTAAAGACTAAAGAATGCCATCAAACTACATTATACACATTTTAGATTGAAGATTTACTTTAAGACTCAGACTTGATCAAATGTTACTAAGCTCCTTTTCTATGTTAAGAAACAGCCCAAATTAACCCAGTGCACTTCAAACTATACAACTATGTTATGTAGCAGTATCATTCTGATACCAAACTCTATTTATTTTATGGAGCTTTAATTCTCCCTCCCAATATAACCTAACAATATACTAGATTCTGAATGATTTAATTTAGTATTCTTGAGTAGCATAGAGCAGAATATTTAATATTCCAGATGTTCTTGGGCGCAATTCCCCAAAGCTCCAGCCAGAATGCCAAAGTCCAGGAACTGTAATTTAGTATAATTTGGAAAGCCACATGTTCACTCACCTACAAATAGAATTCTAAATTAAATCCACAGAAAAATAATAACTTTAACATAAAATCAAAACCATTAAAATACATTGCATTATGAAATGGGAAATAGAATTCTTTTGAATCTGTTATCACTTCAGGTAAATGGCAGGTGACAAGCTTTCATGTGCTGCAAAATAATAAAACTGAAAAAAATGTGTTGATAATATTGTGTTCAATATTATGCATGTTGTGAAGTAGGTGCTTCAGTAATTAGGTGATTGTAAAGCAAACTTTATGATATACAAATTGTAAATGCTTATGACAGCTTTAGCTTTAAATATACCATCCTATTTTGTAAGAAGCAGCAACACCCATAAAAACATATATCAGAAAAGTAATGTAGAGACCTTGAGTCACTTAAGTCCAATGCAGCTTTAACAATATAATGAAAATAACAAGAGGAATTGGCAAGAGAATTGAAAGTAACTAAACAATTTTTTTTGAACATGCAAACAAACCCGGGAGGTGGCTTGCTTACAAACTAAAAAAAGAGAAGGAAAAAAGACTTATTCAGGAATTGTACGACAAAAATGGAGAGTTGCAATATAAAATAGAGGAAAAGAAAAAAATAATTCAGAAATATTTTGAGTTTCTATATAAAAAAGAGGAAATAGAGGAGGAGAATATAAAACAATATCTAAAGACCAAGGGTCTCCTGGAATTAAAAGAAGGACAAAGAGACTTATTGAATAAAAAAATAACTGCAATGGAATTAAGAATAGCAATACAAAAACAAAAAAATAATAAAGCCCTGGGGCCAGATGTTCTACCAGGGAAAGTATATAAGACTCTCTATGAAGATCTGGAAATGATATTATTAGATGTATATAATGATGTATTGGAAAAAGCCAAATTACCAGATTCCTGGACAGAAGCCATCATAACCCTTATTCCAAAAGAAGATACGGATCTTAAACAAATAAAAAATTATAGACTAATCTCGTTGTTGAATTTGGACTATAAAATTTTTACCACAATAATTGCGGAACAACTAAAAATAATACTAAATCAAATAATACATTCGGATCAAAATCGTTTTTTACCTACCAGACAAATTAGGAACAACACGAGAACGGTGTTAAATGTCCTGGAATATTATGAAGCACACCCCGAAAAACAGGATGCATTAGTATTTTTAGATGCTCAGAAGGCATTTGATAACCTTAATTGGCAGTTTATGTTCCAACAGATAGAAGACATGAAATTTGGAGAGAAGTTTGAACAAATGATAAAATCAATATATAAAATACAAAAGGCCAGAGTAATAATAAATGGGGAGCACACAGAGAAGGTAGAAATCAATAAAGGAGTAAGACAGGGATGTCCAATGTCACCTCTACTTTTTATTCTAACGTTAGAAGTGTTATTAACTCAAATTAGAAACAACAAAGAGATAAAAGGACTAAAGGTTAAAACCGAAGAATACAAGGCACAAGCATTTGCAGACAATTTGGTGTTCTTTATAGAGGACCCATTAGAAAGAGGTAATATTTTAATGAATGAAATAGAAAAATATGGAATGGTGGCAGGACTAAAAATAAACAAAGAAAAGACTAAAATATTAGTAAAAAAATGTAACTGAAAAAAAAATGAAAATATCAGATATTTTCCTCAATAATACTGGCCTTCCCTTTATTTAAAAATAACAAATCATGAAATTTGATAAATAATCGATAGCATCTGAAGCAGTGGACTGTTACTTAATAAATCAAATTAAAATACCACAATATTTAGATGAGTTGGTCTTACATAAAATCAGCCATACCCCTTGTGTAATATACCTTTTGCTAACCCATGGGAGCTGATAACGCTGGGTTTGATTAAAAGGAATACTCATGATGGATTTTAAAAATAAATTTAAAAGCCTTGAAATACCATATAAATATTCATTGTTTCTTTAAGCACTGTGGTTGATAAAAGACAATGTGACCCCGGTAGAGACAGAATCTAAACTCAAGTCCATAATAAATCATTTACCAAATTTATTTTATAATACACATTATATGCTGAAGGAGAGTGGTTACAAATGGGAAAAGAGGATCTAGGTGTGGAATTCAACAAGCTCAGATATCAGTTGTCAGCTGCAACCAAGTTAATGTGCAACTTCAAATGTGTACACCAATTCTGAAGAGAAAAGTACAGTCCTATTCAGGACCAAAGAGGGAATTATTCAGTATTGTCAGGGCTGAGCCTGTTCATCCTCCTCTAGACCATAGAGATTCCAGACATAAGGATAGCTTCAACTGGCTGGGCAAGGACTGAGATATATAACTTGTTATCATCAGCTTATTAATTATACTGGACCACACTCTGCAACCTCTTGTAGTTGGGATGGGAGCTTTAAGCTTGAGGTATATGTCATAGGAGCGGATTTCTGCCCCTCCACCAACACAGTCTGTATCCAATCTCAGAGAAAAGAGGAGAACCAGAAAAATACCATGCCTCCCACTCCTAATCTCTGTAAGCAGTCCAGAAGAATACCATTCAAAGGCATCAAGACATTAAGAAGAACCAGGACAGTTGCAATTCTGTGCAATTTTTTCCAAGGTTCATCAACAAGCACAACCAATGCTGCCTCAGAACTATTCTGAAACAAAATTTTATGGAAATTAGGAAAGATAAAGAGATAGAAACCTGTTTAGGTTTCAAAAATTTCAAAAATACATTTGGTAAGGACTAGGTCCTATATAGCAAGCTGAAATGTTGAGATTAAATGTTAATTATGACATCACAGCGTTAAAGAAGCCATTTGAATCACAACATTACAACACAATTTAATCTTTTGCACATAAACTCCCCCAGCCTCCACTGAGAATTCCTAGGGCAAGCGATCCCTCCAAAGCACCAGCTAATCCTTAAACTGATCTTTAAAGACATTTCAGCAGCCATGTTGGCAGCTCTTTTCATTTTTATCCACTTGTTTTCAACAATATATCCTATTCTTGGTAAATGTCAAACAATTCTCCTCCTCTGTCAGGTAATTATTTATGGGGGAAAATATTGCTATCGGAAAGAAATGAATTTTCCCACCAAATCTGGACAGAGTATAATATCTCTCAGAGATTTATGAAGGTCTGTCTTAAAATCAAAGCGAGTTCTGTGCTGCCAATTGACTTCCATAATTAGTGTATTACTAGTGCTGGTAGACTCTTGAGCTTTAGATTCATATTTCCTTATTATACAAAATAGTAGGTATGAAGCATCTCCAACATTTTGTCTTTCAGGGCAATGAATATTATTTAAAATTTGCACTAGAAATTCAGATTGGGTTTATTTTTGCTAAAATAATACACATATATCTACCACATGTTTGATTCTTAACTTTCAAAATCTGCAATTTTAGTAAAAACACAAGCTGTTCAAAAAAAATAATATAAAAATAGATGCATGGTACTATACCACAATACAACACCCCCCCCCCAAAAAAAAAACCTATTCAGTGTAAGATTTTCTTCTATTTAATAGTTTCTCAGGCTAGGTGGCTCATTCCACATTCTGCTTTCAAAAATAAGCAGCCTGAGAACTTAACAATTGTAAGAATGCCACCTTCTGCTCTAGGTATTTCTGGGCAATGAAGAATATTTAAAAAGCAGCATGTACTACATACCTCTTCCTAACCATTTCATAGCAATTGTCTTGTTGCAGAAAAAATAAGCAAAGAAACTTATTTCTCAAAAACTAATTTATCCAAGCAGATATTTTGTAGAAAAGTACTGTACTTTTTATTATGATGTCTTATAAATTATTTTACCCTGTATTCTGCTATGCTTTTGAATGCTCGTTTTAAATATTTTACATTATATTTCACATCTTCATATAGGAAGATGTTTACAATTTACAGAAATTGTAAATAGCAGTAACAATTTCATGT